TGTAATGCTGTGTGCCTAGACCTCATGTAATGCTCCTGTGCACTGTCCGCTCCATATTTGTTTACTTAAGTGTAGAATGTCTATCTGGAACTAATGGGCGATCTCAACCATGCATTGAAACACAGCCAGTTCCCATGAAAGTCATACATGAGATAAGTCTGTTAACATCATCATGTTGAACTTTCTCCTCACCCTGGTGTCCCCTTCTAAGTCATAAACCTTCCAGACAGAGAGGGTAGGAGGGGTGGATAAATCAGGGGAACAGGTCAACTCTATGATGACGGATAGAACCAGACTTTTAGGGGTGAACTTAATGTCGTACATGCAGGTGTGGATTATAATGAAGCACGCCTGAAACTTAGATTATTTATAATTCATTGTTACTTGCATAAAAAACTTAAAAAGTTACAAAGTCATGAGCCTAAACTTTTCAATAATTTCAATGAGCTTCTTGTCGCCACCACCGTGTCCTTGTTGCTGGGCCACTGCTGGCAGAATCCCATCACACGCACGGGGACACACGCTCCTCTGCCAAACACTTACCAAGTCCAAACACGGCTCCAGACTGCAGCAGGGAGAAGGAGCTGCCGGCGCCGAGGGGTGGGATGACAGAGGGTGCAGGGAATCCAGAAAAGGCACAGAATGACTCCAGTTATGGAGGGAAATAGACCAGGCTCAGTAACATCATTTTCCTGGTCTTAGGTCAGTGAGCTTGGGGCGGAGGGCTGGGACAGGAGCATTTATCTTTCCAGGGACATGCAGTTGGAATTCTCAAAGCTCCCAATTAAAGCCAGTCCTATTGTTGACCTAGTTCTGAACAGCGTAGCCCTCAGTGAGAGAGAGACTCAGAAAGAAGTGGAAACTCTTCCCACTCTATTCCCACATGGCAAATTTGAGGCCAGGCCTGTTCTCCTTACACTGGGAACTCTCCTCTCCTCGTGTGATCCTAGGGTAAGGTTCTTTCCAAAATTTCCCAGCAGAGTCTGGGCTGCCTCTTCCTTGTGAATCAAAATATTTAGTTGACAATTTTGCACATTGCTCATTGCACCCCAGGGACCCCTGTCAAGGAACAGTCCCAGTCAAGGCAGGGAGGAATGTTCTGCCAGGGTTGCCAGCGTGCTGTGCCCCCTCCTGGGCTCCGGTGCTCTCTGGAAGTACAGGCTGCTTTTCTCCTCAGCCGTTGCTCCAGCCAGTCCTGGCCGCTCTTCTAGCATCTTGGCCTTTGGGCAACCTGCCACAGCCTCTCTTCCTTACAATATGCACATGGTTTCCATACTGTGCACACGTTGGGAAGCCCAGAGGGGCTGTCTTCCTTCAAGCTACTACCTATTTTGTTGAAAACCCCTCTCTTCCCCCAGGCTCTGTGAGGGCAGTGATCAGGACGGGCCTGCTGTTCCATCTCGCCCAGCTCCTGTATTTCATCTGTTATTACAGACCTTAGACCTTCCTGCTACTGGAGTAATCAACATGCCAAGACTATCTTGTCCAACTTCTTTCTGAGGTCAGGAGCACACTCACCGGGAAACATCACAGTTACCATTGTTGCATTTCAGGAGCGTCTGGATCGATATCAGCATATTTTCTGGAAGCATAGTAAATTTGCTCCACATACTCAGAGGGATGGGTCAGGCCAGGAAATTTGAATGTGCTCTCAACAACATGTTGCTTCTCCCGAGAAAAGGGTGGACCATCCACACAGACTTGCTTAAAAGCAAATATGTTTGGTGAAACGATGTAAATGTAAGTTTAGTCTTAACCTAGCACAGTTTTTCAGTGTCGGCTCCACTGGTTTGTACTAGTCTTCATCATAGCATGGGCAGAAATGAAAATTAGGAGCACAGAGCAATGTGTATAAAAAACACACTGAGTCATTAAACTAAAATTAAACAATAGTTTTGATCATTTTTAATATTATAACCCTCATTACGATGATCTTACCATTTGATTAGTATCATAAAGTTTCAAGATTTTTTATTATTGTAACTATCATACTTTGTAAGTTACAATCCGCCCCTTCTCGCCTACTCGCCACCCTGTTGGGGGGATGACAGCTGGTCCAGCCTCTCTGGAAAATGCTATGGAGATTTCTTAAGAAAATAAAAATGGAAATTGTGGGGACCTCCCTGTGGCACAGCGGTTAAGTCTCAGCACGATGAAGCTATCTGCAGCGGCCTGAGTTCCATCCCCAGCCAGGGAGCTGACCACATGGCACAGCAGACCTCTCCTGCCCTGCCCGCTGCTCCCCTCAGCAGGGTATTTCAGTCAATCTGCCTGTTCTGCTCCCCACTCTGTCTCTGGTGAGTCCTCTCACCCCCCACACCTCTGGCCTGTACCCCAGCTCTTGTATGCATAAATAAAATAAATCTTTTTAAAAAATAGAAATTGCATATGATCCAGCCATCCCTCTGCTAAATAGTCACCCAAAGAATGTGAAAACTCTGATGTAAATGACTCCTGTGCTCTTGTATTCACAGCAGCATGGCCCACACTTGCAGGTCTAGGACCCAACCTCGGTGCCCACTGACAGACCAATGATAAGAAATTGTGGACTATACATGTGGGGGGTTGTAGGGCTAAAACAACTTAGTCTTTTCCTTGCCTTGCAGATGAGGACGGGGGTTAAACAGAGAAGGGGCGCTGAAACGTTGCTTTGGGAACTTGGCTACGAAAACCTCGACCAGACTCCAGAACCAAAAGTTATCCCTGGAGCCGAGCATCAGTCCCACCTGTGGCCATTATGGGCTAATCATCAATTCTAAAGAAATACAGGGACTAATCTTGGCCTGACACCCTGAAAGATGACAGCCAGCACGGACCCATGTCCCCAATCTTAGAGACACCTCACAAGTTCGCAGTGTAAGTGCTTCATGTGCCACTGGAGCCCAGGTGAGTTCTCCCTCGGCCCCTGCAGTCCAGTGCAGGGACACTCAATAGCCCACCTCTCCTACTCTCCATGCCGCCTCTGGTGTGTTCTTCCACCCCACAACCCCAGCCTTTCCTTCTCTGGGCATTTCTTTTTTGTCACACAGTAATGGAATATTACACAGCTATTTAAAATGATGAAAGAATGCCGCCTGGGACAAATGGATGAACTTGAGCTGAGTATGTTAAGTGAAATACTTGAGAAAGTAAAAAATAGATGTTGGATGTTTTCACTTAACTGTTGAATATAAATTACTCAAAGGCATACTCGGGCAAAACAAAGCAAAAAATAAATTGGATTTAGTGAAAATAAATTGCTGGTTCCAGAGGGGACGGGGGAGGAGGCAGGGATTGAAGAGGGGAGTAGGGCGCCGGCCAGGAGGTTTGATGGAATGTGAGTGGAACACAGACCATATGAAGGAGTGAAAATGTAGCCCTCACAGTATGATAGTTACAATAATACAATAGCCTAAAACTTGATGATACCAATCAGATGACTATAGATTCCCTGCACTGGGAAATATCATGGTAAGTTAAGCCTTAGTGAAACTTTGAAATTTTTATTTTAAGAGTTTTCCCTGAAATTATGAGAGTTGAAAATGTGTGTCTTTCAGAAACTCAGAACTTACTACCCCCTAGTATTATTATGCTGATCACCTCTATGCAATTGATTACCCTCTCTGTCCTGGGCCTCAATTTGTATGTCAACATTAAGGTCACATTGCAGTAAACTTAATTGAACCAAAGTGAATTGAGGGCACTTCAATAAACCTATATTGTCTAATAAATGATAGCCTTTTAGTAAACTTTGCAGTCCTTACCACATTCCCAATAATTAATTCCTCTTTTTCTCCAAATATCTACATTTTTTCATGGTATTACCTTGTCACCCCTGACAGTTTTTATCACCTCTGTTAGTTTTGTCATGCACAGAAAGCTGAGTCCAGCACTCAAATGCAATCCTTTTATTGGCGGGAGAAAGAAACACGCACGGGAGAGAGGAGGAAAGGACACAAGCATGTGAATGCGTCGAAGAAAGCTTTCTTGTGACATATGACTGTGGAGAAGCAGCGTTTTCATTCTCTAGGGAAATCTAGAAAATGGTGCAAAATCCAACCTCAACATTCAATTTCATCTAAAAGATAAAGACAGAGCAGACACCACAGCTCAGCACCCAGGCCTGTCTCTGGTGGAACATGGGCCCTTTGCCACTTCTGCCACCTGGTATTGGGCAGAGCAGTTCCAGTTTGTGTGGCCAGCGTGAGGCAGTGGACATGGGTGAGCTCAGGTGCCAGGAGAAATGCTACACCATTTGCCACTCCGTCCTGCACCGCACATTCATTTCTATCAGCATTCTTCCCAGAAAGTGAAATAAGTTCTCAATGATTCCACAAATATGTAACTATCATTCTTGATGGCAGCTACAGAAATCACAGGAAAGGAATAAAACAACTCAGAACAACTCTGATTCTGTTTCATACATTATTCTCCCCACATCTTGGAGGTTCTATCCTGCAAATGCACGACGGGAAATCAAAGTCTAATAAAATATGGGTTGATGGAAGGAATAAAAGAAGGAAGAAAGAAGGGAGGAGAGAAGGAAGGAAAGACAGAGGGGAGAGATGGATAACAAAGAATAAAGCAAAATGCAAGTGCTTTCCTAGTTGGTATATTAATATGAATCATATAAGCAAACCACCTTTCAAATCTAGATTATTCTAGATTTCAAATCTAGATTATTGCTGTCAACATTGATGTTGATCTCAAATAACTGTTCTTATGAAATGTAGGTAGGCAAAAAAAAGTAACAAGTCATCTAAGTGACAACTTCCCAAGTTACAGTTCAAATTACTGTTTCTTCTTCTGAAAATTGGGGCAAAAGAGAAAATACCTCAAAGAAATGTTTTTAAGAATACATTCATACATGAGAAGACAGTAGAGTCTTTGTTATACCCACTGCCTACTTTCCATCAGGAAAAACAAATATACAACGAAATTATAGGCAATAGCTACGAGACTGAAGGATGATCATTAAGGAAAACATCAGATTTGATATAAATGCTTCAAATCTAAGTTTGGCATACTCAGAAATGGTTGCAAAAATGCTGACCAGAGAAAGAACTTTATGGACTAAAATAGGAAATGAAGGGAAAAAAAACTGAAAGATGGTAAAGAGGTAACTAACATAAGGATGAATGGAAAGAATAAAAAGAAACACAGAACTTTTCAAAATAGAAGGAAGGAAGCATGTCTTTGAGGGGAGAAAAAGACCAGATATTAAACTTGGCAACATTGGCCTCTGGGACCCCAAAAATCTACTAAGTTTTGAAGCCAGGGTCCCATAATGGACTAGAGGCTCCTCGGCTGAACAGCCTCCCCAGGGCCCCCTTCACATCCTTGTTCCTCAGGCTGTAGATGAAGGGGTTCAGCATGGGGGTGACCACCGTGTACATCACTGAAGCAACTGAAATTCTCTCTGAAGAATGGGTCACAGCAGAACTGAGGTAGACCCCCAGGCCTGTCCCGTAGAACAGGGAGACCACAGACAGGTGAGACCCGCAGGTGGAGAAGGCCTTATACTTGCTGGTGGAGGAGGACATCTTCATTAAGGAGAAGACGATTTGAGAGTAAGAAAAGAGGATCCCAGTGAGGGGAAACACACCCAGCAGGGCAGTAGACATGTACAAGCAGATGTGATTGATGAGCGTATCAGAGCAGGCCACCTTGAGAATTTCCGTTAGTTCACAGAAGAAATGTGGGATTTCAGTTCCGATACAGAAGGTCAACTGCATGGTCAATAGAATATGAAGCAGGGCCACCCAGAACATGATGGCCCAAGAAGTCAGAAGCAGAAACACGCAGAGGCGGGGGTTCATGATGACCATGTAGTGCAGGGGGTGGCAGATGGCCACGAACCGGTCGTAGGCCATCACAGTCAGGAGGAGATTGTCTACGCCGACAAAAATCAGAAAACAGTACACTTGAGTGAGGCAGCCTATATAGGAGATGTCTTTGCTCTGCATCTGGATGTTCAGCAGCATCTTGGGGACGGTGGTGGAGGTGAAGCAGATGTCGGCAAAGGACAGGTTGGAGAGGAAGAAGTACATGGGGGTGTGCAGGTGGGGGTCGGAGACAATGGCTGTGATGATGAGCAGGTTCCCAACAACTGTGGCCAGGTACATGGACAGAAACAGCCCAAAGAGGAGGGGCTGCAGTGCAGGGTCACTGGAGAGGCCCAGGAGGAGGAAACGGGGCATTTCTGTGTAGTTTCCTGCTTCCATGGAGACGGTATGTTCCCTGGGAAAAGAAGTAGCAAGATGGTCAGGGAGCAGCCAGCTGCCCCGAAGCCAGTCACCACGTTTGCTCACACCTTTGCCTGTATATCTGCACCTCACTCAATTGGGCTGTTCATTTCCACTTTCAATGTATGTAATTATACAGTGGAACAATTTAATTCAGAATAAACCTCTCTGTCTCTGTCTCTGTCCCTCTCTCTGTCTCACCCATTCACTGTTTTAATTCTCCTGATCAAATCTCTAGACAAACCAATTTCTTCTCTGGTAAAACCCTTACAACAAAAAAAAAAACTGAAGACATTTAGGGTCTTTTCTTGCGTGATCTTCATCCTTACTTCATTCTAGAAACAGTTTCATAGAGATTTGGATGTGGAACGTCAACCCCAATAACCTTAATCCTATTATTTGATGCTTCTACTGATACGGTGGTTACATCTCACATCTCACATAGAAAGAAAATAATTTTTCTTTCTATAAGAAAAAAATAATAGCCATTACCTTTGTCATGAACATAAAAAAAAACCCTGCATGCACAATAGGATGCTAAAAAATGAGATTTCTTATTTTTAATCATTATTCATCTATTTCTTTTGTGACAACTGTTTATCTATAACTCTCCCAAAATAAGGAAGGTGTGATTTAGAAAAGGGAATATCGCAGCAGACTGAGAGAGAACTTCAGCCCACCAGGTGTGAGTGACTCTGACAACGTGCCTCCATCTCTCAGCTGCAGACGCCTTCGCTCTGCAACGGGCCCAGTAAACGCACCTACCCTGCAAGATCATAACTGAACTTATTAGGGTGCCCATGTCATTGTGACGTGGGGTTCCCGGGCCACGGCACACGCAGGACCAACACGGCCCGCGCGCGTCACCCCGGGAGTGTCCGCGCGTCTGTCCCGCGCCCGCCGCGGCCTCAGCATCTGAAACACACGCGGGTCTGCACCTCGTTTGCCTCCCACGGCCCCTCGGGGACCCCCGCCGGGCCCCGCTCTCTCCGGGACGTCCGCTGCCGGGTGCTTCTGAGCGGAGAGGCGGCACAAGGGCCTCCGAGGACGGGACAAAAAAGCGCCCGCCCGTTCCGGCTGCGCGACCCGCCCGTCCCGCCGGCCGCGGAGCCCGCGAGGGGGCGCTGCGCCGCCCTCCCGCTCCCGCCGGGAGAAAACGGCCGAACGGCAGGAAAGCGACCGTCGCGGCCCCTGTGACCCTGAACGCCATCCCGGGGCTCTTCCACGGCCAGCGCGACCGCGCGGGGCGAGCCGCCGGGGGCGAGCGCGTCCGGCATGTACTGCGCGTTCCGCCTCCGTCTCCGGGGCCCTGCGCCGCCCGGAGCCCGCTCGCCCCACTCGTGGTGACGCGGCGCGTGTCCGCCCGTCCCGTCCCGTCCCGTCCGGGCGCGTCCTCGCGTGGACGCTCCACCCGCGGGACGCACGTTCCCCCCCACACCCCCAGCCCGGGCGTCTCTGCGCGTCCCACGGGCCCAGCTCTGGCCCGGCCCCTCCCGGTCCCTCTCGGCCGCCCGCGCTCGGGTCAGGGCGCTCGGGCCGGGACCCACGGGCGGGTCCCCGCAGCCGCGGAGCCGGGGGAGGCCGGGAGCCTCCGCCCCGCGCGCCCCGGACCGTCCCGGGTGCCCCGCGGCGGGGACTCGAGGCCCGGCACAGGGGGGAGCCAAGTCCTGGGGCCAAAAGCGCCCCCAGAACGCTCAGCGCTGAGGCCCCGCCAGCACTCCGGGCAGAGCAGCGTGGGGGGAAAAGGGCCCCCCAGCAGCCCTTCTGCTTCCCCGGAACGTCTCCCCCAAGATGCGGCGGGGCGCCCCACCACCCCTCCGCCTCCCCCTCCCACCTCCCCCCGCGGCGACGGGGCAGCCCCCGCCCCTCGCCCCGCTCTCCAGACGTGGGGACTCTGCGTGTTGCGGCGGCGGCCACGGGTGACCTGCGGGGCGCAGGGTCGTTTGCCCCCCCGCGTCCCCGACTCGGCCGCCCCCCGCCGCAGAGCCGGCCGCGAGGAGCCCGGACACCACCCCCTGTCCCCCACCACAGGCCGCGCCCGCAGCGGGGTGCAGAGCGGCGGCCAGCGCTTGGACACCCCAGCGCCGGGATCGAGCGTTCTGCGGTTTCACTAAAAGTAACAAAACTCAGTTCCGCGTGTCAACTCTGCAAGCGCCACGAGCTAAAAACAGAAGAACAATCAAAAGTGCTGCCGGCTGCAGACGGCCTTTCCGACCCAGTCTCATCTGAAAGGACTGAGCCAGGAAACCAGGTTTTGAAAGCAAACTCCTAAGCACGTGTGGGGGGGGACATCAGCAGATGCATCGGAATGTCGGTTGCAGTTTCCTTGGGATTTAGTATCCTAACTGTTATTTGCATTTTCCAAGTTTTATAACATCGTTATAAATGCTTTTTTAACTTTAAAGCACTTAAAGTATTAGCAGAATCTTAAATGTTGAATAAATGACTAAGAAAATTAATTTTATAATAGAAGTAGGCAATATTTTACATAAAATATAATTCAATGAATTTTTTTAATTCAGAAAATGTCCCTATTGACTAACGATCTTTTGCAACAGTATATAGTCAAAATTAGTTCTAATCAAATTATAAAATTGAGAAATCAAATACACACACTAAAGAAATGGGGTTATAAATCAGATAGAGAGAACATTTAAAAAATTATAAGACCTTTTCACCTAAAACTCTTCATTGAATTCACAAAAATCTCAAAAAGGAACTTATTTTTAAAAGATGTATAAAGTACCAGACTGCATTTAGATTGGAGAAAAATATGTCAATTAGCAAAAGATGAGCAGAATTACAAAATAGTTGCATCACAAGGCCTTCAAAACTCTTCTGGACACAGAAACACTTTGAATTAAATTAATGATGCTATTAATTAATAATAGGAAGTGGTGTCGTAGGTATACAAAAAACTAAAAGGATCTCTGATTTTCAGAGAGCACTGATTCTCAGAGTTATGGACTGCTTGAAGAACAAGAAATATAGTGTAGGTTAATAAATGTAGATTTCAAAATAATGCATGATGCTTCATGAAAAAAAGATTAACTGTTTTTCAAAATTTTAAATTGTAATTTAGCAGTCTGCCAAGAGGCAGGCATTTACTTCTAAAACAGAGAGAAATAAAAGCTTACAAACAAGTTAAAAAAAGGCTATTTTCCTGGATGATAAATGGGCAAAGCAGATCACTTATATTCCAATGTGCCTCAATCAATACTTATTTAAGAAAAAGAATATCTCCCTCAAAACAATAGCAACTATCATGCCAAGCACAGGTACAAGGAATGGTAGCCGGATTCTGTTTGGGTCATAGACGAGAGCAGCAGTCTCCAGCAGCGTTCCTGAATTTGCTCTGCCCCAGAAGAGCCGGGGACAGGGCCTGGCCAGGTGCCGTGGCGGGGTCACCGGCACAGGCAGGTGGAGCTGGACGTTGCTGGTCACGAGTGTGTTCCGTGCACCGGCGGGTTTACAGCGTGCACCCCCGGAATGGACCTGCTAATTCCGTGCTGCCTCAGTATATTTAAGCAGCAAAACTTCATGAAAAACAAAGTCACAAACTTAAATTCTTTAGCAATTTTAATCAGCCTCTTGCAGCCCGTGCCCTATTCCTGGATGTTTGCGAGCAGAGGGCGGCTGCGCGCACCCGAGCACCAGCTCCCTCCGCGGACACTCACCGGGGCGCAGGACCCGCCGCCTGGAGCGCGGGGCGGGCGCGCCCGGGGCCGGCGGAGAAACGCGGCGCGCAGCTCGGAGGAGGCGGCCTGGTCTCCCCCGCCGGCCCCGACGGGCCTGGACGGGGCCTTTAAGCTCTCAGGCCGGGCGGAGCTGAACGCCCAGCGCTGCCAATTAAGGCGGCCCCGTTGCCCGTCTCTCCTCACACCCCGGCGGCGGCCAGAGGGCGTCTCCCGCGGGACCTGGGCCGCTGCTCCCGCGGGGTGCGGGCCGCGGGCTCCCCTCCGGGCGTGGTGTCAGGCTGGAGACCCGTCCGCATCGTTACAAACCCGTGAAAGCCCCCACGACAGGCTGGGCTGACGCTTCCTCGCCATTGCAGATGCTTTGCCAGAGACGACGGCGCGCAGCCCCCGCCCGACGGCGCTGGGCCCGGCCGTCCCGCGAGGCCCGGCTGCGGTGAGTAACCAAGAGCGCGGGCGGCAGATGTTTGCGCCTCATTCATTGTATTTATTTTATTAAACAGAGTGGTTCCAAAAAGCCAGAAACATTTTACTGAAAACCTCACACACACAGTGAGCCCCGACCCCTGAGGGGGGACCCCGCGAGGTCTCAGGCACCGCTCAGCGCGCTTTGGGGCCGGGTCGGGGCCACCCGGGCTGGAGTCCACACGAGACCTCTCACCCGCGAACTCGCAGCCAGGAACGCCCGCCATCTTGGCGAGCCCCGGCGGCCAGTCCCCGGAGAAGGCGGCGGCTCTGCCAGGCTCTCGGCCTGTGGGCTGCAGTCACGAGAGACTTCCCACCCGTGGGCTGCAGCCGGGCATGCCTGACCGTGGGCGGTCACGTGGCACCGGCGCTCGGCACACGTGACCAGTCATGGGGGACCCACACCTGGTACTCGTGACAGTAGCAGTCAGGTGGCTCCCACACCCAGACACATGATTGGTCACATGGTTCACGTGCCCAGTACACGTGACAAGGAAGGTCACATGGCTCACGCACCTGGTACACTTGACAGTGGCAGTCACATGGCTCCTGCGCCCAGCACAGTACACGTGACAAGAGAGGTCATGTGGTGAGAGGTCATGTGGTTCCCACGTCCAGTACATGTGACTGGTCACGTGTCCCCCACGCAGGGTTGCAGTCACATGTCCTCTGTGCCCTGTACAAGTGACTGCTGCCCGCATCCAGGCTGGTTCCAGGGGGGCTGTCAGGGCAGTGTCCGTTGTGGGGCCTCTAAGCTATAGAACACTGTACCCCCCAAAAATCTGAGGACACATTTTTCTCAAGTGCACAGGAATCATTAGCCATGATTGATCACATACTGGGATAATATCCACAGATACTCTAAGATCAAAATAAACCAACTATCTTCACTGACCATGAAGGCATCAAACTAGAAACAGGGCCTCCCTATGGCACAAGGGGTTGAGTGTGAGCACTGTGAAGCTGCCTGCAGCTGCTGTAGCACAAGTTTGATCCCCAGCCAGGGAGAGGACCCACGAGGTGCAGCAGACCTCGCCTGTCTTGCCTGCTGCGCCCCTCGGCAGTGCATTTTGGTCAGTCTGCCTGTTCTGCTCCCCACTCTATCTATGGTGAGTCCTCTCACCACCCACCCTACATCTCTGGGCTGTACCCCAGCACTTGTATGCATAAATAAATAAATCTTAAGAAAAAAATTAGAAATAAACCATGAAAAGAAAGCAAGGAATCCTCCTACCTCATGGAGATTGAAACCCACATGACTGGAAGACCATTGGGTCAATGAGGAGATCAAAGAAGTAATTACAAAATACCTTGAGATGAATAATAGTGAGGACACAACCCTCCAGAACATATGGGACACAGCAAGAGCACTTATAAAAGGAAAATATATAGCAATACAGGCTTACATCAAGAAACAAGAAAGAACTTGAATCCGAGGGCAAGTTAGGGAGAATTAGGCAGCCTCAAGGACAGTGCAGGTGGGGACCTCGGGAGAATTCAGGAAGGCTTCAGAGATAAGGGCAGCAAGAGGAATGTGTTAATGCTGGCCTTGGTTTCCTTCAGGTGATAAAGGGAGGTGGAG